TCATTTACAGTCTGTGTTTACTTGTTAATTTTTTGTCTAGATGATCTATCCAGTGATGTCAGTGGGGTGTTGAAGTCCCCTGCGATGATTGTATTGCTGTTGATTTCTTCTTTGAAGTCCTCCAGAAGATTTTTAATATATGTTGGTGCTCCTATATTGGGTGCATATTTGTTTACCAAAGTTATATCTTCCTGTTGGCTAGATCCTTTCAATATTATGTAGTGGCCTTCTTTGTCTCTAGTTATGGTCTTCATTTTAAAATCTAATTTATCAGATATGAGTATTGCTACCTCATTTTTTTTTCCCTTTCCATTTGCCTGAAAGATTTTTTCCATCCCTTCACTTTCAGCTTATGTGAGTCTTTTGTGAGATGTTCTTGTAAACAACATATATGTGAATCATGTTTTTTTTCTAGTCAGCTACTCTGTATCTTTTTATTGGAGCATTCAGACCATTCACATTTAAGGTGATAATTGATATGCACTTATTTATATCCATTTTTGTTTAGTGTGGTTCTATTTTTCTTCCCATTTATTTTACTAATTACAGCAGTCCTTTTAGCATATCTTGCAGTGCTGGTTTGGTGTTTATATATTTCCTTCGCCTTATTTTGTCTGGAAAGCTCTTTATTTGACCTTCTATTTTGAATGATAGCCTTGCTGGATAGAGTAGTCATGGACTCGGATCCTTATTTTTCATGACCTTGATTACTTCATGCCACTCCCTTCTGGCCTGTAGTGTTTCTTGTGAGAAGTCAGCTGAGAGACTTATGGGGTTTCCTTTGTGTGTAACCTGTTGCTTACCTCTTGCTGCCTTTAGGATTCTCTCTTTGTCTTTAATTTTGGGCATTTTAATTAGTATGTGTCTTGGTGTGGGCCTGTTTGGGTTCTTCTTACTTGGGGCTCTCTGTGCTTCTTGAACTTGAATGCCTTCTTCCTTCAACAAGTTAGGGAAGTTTTCTGTCACTATTTCTTCAAATATATTCTCTAACCCTTGCCCATTTTCTTCCTCTTCAGAAACTTCTATGATATGAATGTTATTATGTTTCCAATTGTCCCACAGTTCTCTTAAGCTATCTTCCTGTTTTTTAATGATTTTTTTCCTTTAGGTTTTCTAATTGGTTGATTTTTTCTACCCTGTCTACTAAGTCACTGATCCCATCCTTAGTTTCCTTTACTCTGCTGGTTATTCTTTCCAATGTGTTCTTTATTTCTGATATGTAATTCTTCATTTCCAATTGTTTGGTTTTCAGTGTTTCTATTTCTTTACTCATAGTGCTAAGCTTTTTACTCATTTCGTTGAGCTTCCTCATTATCATTGCTCTGAACTCTACCTCTGATAACTTGCTTAACTGAATTTCATTTATCTCATCTTTAATAAAGTTCTCTTGTTCTTTCATTTGGGATTTGTTTCTTTGTTTCACCATTTGGCTATCTCAATGGGTTTTGGAGCCTGCCTACTTTTCCTGTTGGTGTTGGTGTTCTGCTGTTTGTGGCTCCCTCTACTGGGTTTGGATGAGTGTGGGAGAACCCACCTTAAACACCACTGTGTCAAGTATTACTTTCCTGGGTAGGTTTACAAGCCCAGGAAAGGTTCACTTATCCTCTTGCTTTTTGCCTTGACACTCTTGTTCTCAGTTACTTCATAAGCCTTGGGTTATAGCCCTGAGGTGAATGAAAATATCCCTTAGGTATTCATGATAAGAGGATTTTCGGAAGGTGGGACAGATGCTGGCTGTTAATGAGCTTCAATTTGCATTACTCTGGCCCACCTGGGTGGAGTTAAATTTCTGAGGCAGTGGCTGTTGCTTCCCCCCGGGCCTCTGGGAAGGGGCTCTTTGAGTAATATGGCTACTGTTTTGTGAGGGAGTGATTCAGCACAAAACTCCCAAAGCCCTCATAGCTTTTCCAGCTTCTGAGTGTCCACACAGTTCCAGTCCAGTCTGCCCTCCCTCTGCTGGTGCCTAAGGTGAGTGGCTGTAGCTCATTTAGTGCTCTGTCCTGGTCCTCTGCACTTTGAAACTAGCTTGGGACTTTAACCCCAAGGGAGCTGCTCACAGCTAAAATAGATTCTGTTCAGGGGCTCCCAGCCCACCATCTCATACCTTGGAAGATCCTACCAGGTTTAATTCAGTGTCCTTTCTTCCTGTCTCTGGTTATATGGGTCCTCTCCAGCTACTTTTTTGTTGCTTTTTCTTGATGATTTTTCTTTATTTTAGTTGTAATTCCAGTTTGGTCCTGAGAGATGGTTTGTGTAGCTTCCATTCAGTCCATCACCATTTTGGAATCCCCCACTGTTCATATTTTTGTTCTTTTTCTCCTTCAATAACATCCTTCCACATTTCATATAATATTAGTTTGGTGGTGATGAACTCCTTTAGCTTTTTCTGATCTGGAAAACTCTTTACATGTCCTTTGGTTCTAAATGATAGCTTTGCAAGATAGAGTAATCTTGGTTGTGGGTCATTGCTTTTCATCTCCTTGAATATGTCTTGCCACTCTTTTTAGGTCAAAAAGTTTCTTTTGAGAAATCAGCTGACAGGTAGTTGGGAGCTCCTTTATAGGTAATGAATTGCTTTTCTCTTGCTGCTTTTAAGATTTTTCTCCTTGTCTTGAACCTTTGGCATTTTGATGATGATATATCTTGGAGTGGGCCTCTTTAGGTTTATCTTTTTGGGGACTCTTTGTGCTACCTGGACGTGTATGTCTGTTTCCTTCACCAAGTTAAGGAAATTTTCTGTCATTTGTGTTTCAAATAGGTTTTCAATTTCTTGTTCTCTCTCTTCTCCTTTTGGCACCCCTATGATGTGAATGTTGGCACATGTGAGGTTGTCCCAGAGGCTCCTTACACTATTCTCATTTTCTTGGATTCTTTTTTCTTTTTGCTGTTCTAATTGTGTGATTTTTGCTTTCTTATATTTCAAATTGATGGTTTGCTTCTTGGCTTTACCTACTCTACCAATGTTTTCCTGTAAGTTATTCTTTATTTCAGTTAGTGCATCCTTCATTTCTGACTGGTCCTTTTTATGTTGTTGATATTCTCACTAAGTTTCTTGGAGATCTCCTTAAGTTCCTTGATTGTCTTACTAAGTTCCTTGAGAAACCTTATAACCAGTGTTTTGAACTCTGCATCTGATTGATTGCTTATCTTCATTTTGTTTACTTTACATTCCTGGAGTTTTGTTTTTGTTTTTGTTTTTTGTTTTGTTTTGTTTATTTTCATTTGGGACATGTTTCTTTGTCTTCTCATTTTGGTTGCTTCCCTGTGATTATTTCTATGTATTAGGTAGAGTTGCTATATCTACTAGGCTTCATAGGGTGGCCTATTATTGTAGGTGTCCTGTAGGATCCAGTGGCACAGCCTTCTTGATCATCCCAGCTGGGCCTTTGAGGTGCACCACTAGTGTGGACTGTACATCCTTCTGTTGTCATTGAGTCTTGATTGCTGTTGACACATCAATTGCAGGAATTTACTCCTCAAGCTGGTCAGCTGTAAGGACTGGCTCTGCTCACTGACCTCTGGCCTCTGACTCCCTTGGAAAATCAGCTGTGTAGGGGCCCACCACCCAGAGCAAGACTTACTTGATCAGGGCTGTGGTATTCATTGAGTCTGCTCATTGAGTGTGTCACTTGTGGAGGTGGTTGGTGGTGGTGTTTTGGTGTGGTTCGAAGTTGGCCATTAGGTGTGCTATTTCTAAGGCAAATTCAGCCACTGCCTGTGTTTCATCCGGGGTTACCTTGCACAAGCTACAAAGTGATATGCAGATGGCTGCTTCTTGTGCTAGGCATGGAGGTGACCAGGTAAAGCCAAGTTGTGAACCAAGGTTGGTTGTTTCTTGTCCCAGGCCTGGGGCCACTTAATGAGAGGTTTGGGGCTCACTGAAACCAGATGCTACTTGTTTAAGGTATTTTAGGAAACTCTGAAGCAACATCCAAGACAGGCCAATCCTATGGAAAGCCTTTGGAAACAGCTTGTATGGGTCCAAAAGTTGGGTGAGGTGGGGCCTCAGGGAATCACCAGGGTGGAACAAATAGTGAGAGCCAGGTTGCTGGAGTCCCAATTTTGGCGGCCATCTTCTTCCCCTGGGAAAGTCTCACCAAAGGAACATCAGCCTCCGCAAGCTCATCTGTCCAGGAGAAAGTCACCTCTCCAGCTCTCATCCTGAAGCCAAATAGCTCAGTTCTTTCTTGTATGTCTCTGTTGCCCCTCAAGCTGCCTTTCCTCTGAGCTTAGAGGGAGGAAGTCTAAATAAGTCCATGAGTGGGCCTTTTAAGAGGAACTGCCTGGGGCTCTAGCAGCTGTACCCTTCTTCAGTCTGAGTTTCCCCTGGATTTTTCAGCCATAAGTTATGGGGACTTCTTTTTCTGGCACTGGAACTATGAACTGAGTGCCTGGTATGGGATGGGACCCCCTCACTCCTCAGGGAGGACCTTCACAGCCAAGGTATCCTGATTTTTATCTGCCACATGTGGCAGATGGGTGGCCTATTGTTGTAGGTGTCCTATAGGATCCAGTGGCACAGCCTCCTTGATCACCCCAGCTGGCCCTTTGATGTGCACCACTAGTGTGGGTGTGGGACAAGCCCGACTGCACCTTCACCCCTCCTATGTCTCGATATGGCTGCTTCAATTTTGTGGTTATAGGATGCCATTCAGGTCAATGTCAAGCTGTTCTGAATGGTGTTGGTTCTGTAGTTTAGTTGTAATTTTGATGTGTTTGTGGGAGGAGGTGATACCATGTTTTCCTATGCCACTATCATGACCAGAAGCCGAGAAGTCTTCATTTTTATTACCAGATATAGATAGATGTACATACCACTGTAATTTCACAATTATTTGGACTAACATACAAACTCAGTGTACCTGCAAATATTGGTTCTTGTTCAAAATATCATTATACCTGATGATATAATATTGATTCTTCTAAGAATAGAGGATATAATCATTTGTCTTTCATAAGTGATAGTAATAAGTATCAAGTTTTTTTCTTTTATTTCATAGGAATTTGGTGACAAGGTAGCAGTAAATGACATGTCTTTGAATTTATATGAGGGGCAGATCACTATTCTTCTAGGAAAAAATGGGGCAGGAAAAACCACAACATTGTCTATTCTTACAGGTATGTATTCAGCTCTGTGCAGATCATAAGTCAGGTTCCTTCTAAGACTGTAAATCAACTTCTGGTGTTGAGTATGTTATTTCAGTGTTAGTATTATTACAGTTTCAATTATTTATAACAAAAATGCTTCATTGATGTAATAAATTTATTTATTCAATTAAAAATGTATATGCTAATTCTTTTTATAGGAATTTATAATACAGGGGTGATTACAAGTCTGTTGCACTCAATTTTATACTCTGATGGAAATACGGACAAAAACTTGAAACTTACACCATACGAAAGAAAGTAGACATTATATGTAGGACAATATTCACCCAATAGAATGACATATAACCTGTTTTGGTGACAGTGAATAGGAAAGCAACATCAATCTGAGGCAAATACAAGGTATAAAGGCCTCTGTGAAGGGAAAGACTAATATAGGTATAAGCAGAGACCAGGAAGCTTAAAAGCAGAGATTATCTTTATAACTAGATGTGATAAGGAAGCTGGATGAATCAAAAGGTCAAATCACAAAAGGTTTTAGGGAAGCCATTCTGTGTTAAGAATTTATGCTGAGAGCAATGAGAAGCTATAGAACAATATTTATGAAGTTTTATACTTTAGAAACATTGCATTAATAAGGAAAGAAGAGTGGATAAGGAACACTAGGGTCCATGAGGATAGTCAATCCCATGTTGTGTGTTAAATTAGTGTAATTCCTAGGGGCTAGAGCAGGGCTGAGCTTCATAGTTGAGACAAAATGGCTTCTTTTTTAATACAAAAGTAATGGAAAAACTAAGTCAGGAGGAGGAGACATTCTCTAGTTTATATATTTGGACTGACTCCCTATAAATCTTAGTTAAAACTCTTCTTAAAAGATTAACTTCTTAGTTAACATCACAAGGTTATGATTTTAGTTATCATTACCTTCATGATGACATACATAGCTGATATGCTTTAGAAAAGATATCTTGGAACACACTTCATGCTTTACATGTTATATCAGAACACATATTATGTACTTCCTTATTTGCATGTGCTCATGCCCTTTCTCTAATTGGGAATGCCTAAATCTATACTACACCTATTAAAAATTTTATTTATACACCCAGATACAGCTCAAAAGCAACCATCTGGAGCAAAATGGCAGAGGAGGTAGATCCATGTTCTAGTTCCTTCACAGACAAAACTGATCAACAAGCTAAAAAATGTCAGAACTCTGAAAACAGGTAAAGACTTACAGCAATCAAGCAATACTAAATTAAGTGGGTGACATCAGTAATGCAGTAGACTTGGAAGCTCCAGACCCTCATTCCCCACAGAGACACAAAGTTAACAACAATATACAGACAAAATTGCCTTTTTAAAGAACTCTGAGTACCAGTTTGGAAGCAACAGCATGCATGTGAATGCACAGCCAATACCAAAAAGGGTAGAAATTTTGCAGTATTTTCTCACCCTAATCCTTTCCCCACATGACATGGTGTGATCAGGAGGAAACTTTTCAACTCAAAGTTTTTTCATTGGAACAGAAAGGAAAGATTGCAAGTTGCATTCAATATTCTGAATTTTCTAAGTGCTGCCAAGGAATTGGTTTCTGTCATGTCTAATGGAGCACTGATGGGAGTAACAGCATGGTATGGAAGCCAGGTTTAAATCCACAGAAAAAAGAGGCAACCTATTCAGCATTTTGAATTGCTTTAGAGCAGCAGAAACTCTGAAAAATTTCACAAACAGGTACCAAAGGAGTGTCAGAGTACAGGAAGAAAAAAAAAGAAAGAAAATGAAACCAAAACCTTCATGTTGCTTAGGGAAATTAAGCAGTTAAAGGCAGATGTATATATTGGCATTAAAGCACACATACAATTCCAGAGAAGACACATCCCCAGAAAGGCTTTGCAAAGTCCTAAAACTTCTAGCTGGGCTGATTGGTGAAGGCCTCCACATGCAAGAAACCAGTCCATAAAAAAATGTCTGTTTTTAAGAGTTTAGATCTCAACAGAACATCACAATGCATACAAAAAAAAAAGAAAGAAAATATGCCAGAATCAAGGTAACAAAACAAAGCTCCAGAATCTGACCTTTAAGATACACAGATTTCTGAGTTATCTGACAAATAAATAAAAAGTCATTTTAAAGATGTTCAACTATATAAAAGAGAAATATTGCTAAACCCATGTTGCTGAAATGGGTTTATTTCTACAGGAGTGAGTGCCAGAAAAAGAATAGATGGGACAACATATAAAGATTTAAAATATTACCTTTTGGGAGAGGTGGCAGAGTGAATGGAAGCTACACAAACCATCTCCCAGGACCAAACTGGAATTTCAACAAAATAAAAACAAGTCATCTGGAAAAACCAACTGAAGAACATCTGGTCAGAACCTTTGTAATCAGGGGCATAAAGAGGATACCAAATTGCGACTTGAAGGATGTGCAGAGGTGCAAGAGTGCTGGCTGGGGTTTCAAAGGCAGCAGCTGAGGGATGTCTTAGCTGTGAGAAGCTTCCTCTGAGAACTCAGGGATTTAAACCCCAAGCTGGCTCCCCAGCACAAAGGGGCAGCAGAACAGGGAAAGGCATCCACTACACCTGGCTGAGAAAATCACCAAAGCAGAGATTTTTGTCTAGCAGGGAGAAGCACTGGGGACACCAGTACTTCCATGATGGGCCAGAACACTAAATTACAGCTAAAACCACTCACCTTGGGGTCCAGCAGAGGGAGAGTGGACTGGACTGGAGCTGTGTAAGGAGAGTCGGGGGTTCGTGGCATTAAGGAGAAAGTTGGGAAGGAGTCCCTCAGCATGCATATGCTGACTCAGTCCCCCAGAAGGCAGTAGCCATTGTGCTCAAGCCTCTTCATATCAGAGTGGGTTTATCCCTAGGGAAAAGCAACTGCCCCTTTCTCAGGAATTTAACATCAACCAGCCCTGACAAGTGCAACCTGAGGCTCATTAACACCCAGAGACTACCTCCAAGCCAGCAGGCAGAGAAGAGTCTCTGAAGGCTTTGAGCTTTGCACCTGGCTCTCAGTGTAGAAGGTCATGTTTCTGGGGACTGAACTGTGAAGGCCGAAGCCTGAACCCCTGTGCTGAGCCATTAACTTATACTGCAGAAACCATTTTCTTCTCAAAGCAACTTTAACCCAGAGGAAAGCAATTACCACACCCACTGGAAGACTTCTTATCCTGTCCACCTGAGGGATTCTTCATTCAGCTGAAGGCTACAACCTGAGGCTCGTTAAGTAACTGAGACTAATAGCCTGCAGGAAAATAAAACTAGACAGGGATGTTTGCATGGTCCATTCCATACTCATCCACACCCAGCTGAGGGAGCAATAATCAGCGGAACATCAACACTCACAGAAAACTTGGCAGGCTCCAAACCCTGCTGAGACAGCCAAAATGGTGAAACCAAGAAATAAATCCCAAGTGAAAGAAAAAGAGAATTTTACTGAAGAAGGGATAAATTAAATGGAGTTAAATAAGTTATCAGAGGTGGAGTTTAAAATAATGATTATGAGGAAGCTCAACAGCATGACTAAAAAGCTCAACAGGATGAGTAAAGATATAGAAACAAATAAAATCAACCCATTGAAAATGAAAAACCACCAAGCAGAAATGAAGAATGACATAGCATAAGTAAGAACATATTGGAAGGAATAACCAGCAGAGTAGAGGAAGCCGAGGATCAGGTCAGTGAATTAGAAGATAGGGTAGAGAAAAAAATTAATCAGAGAACAAAAAAGAAAAAAAAATTTTTTTTAATGGGAGGACAGTGTAAGAGAACTGTGGGACAACATGAACTTAACAACATCTGCGTGATAGGAGTATCAGAATTAGAAGAAAGTGAGCAAGGGTTAAAGAATATATTTGAAGAAATACTTGCAGAAAACTTTCCTAACTTGGTGAAGGAAAAAGTCATAAATGTTCAGGAAGCACAGAGCGCCCCAAGTAAGAAGAACCCAAAGAGGCCCACACCAAGACACATCATCATTAAAATGCCAAAAATTAAAGACAAAGACAAAAGAGAATTGTAAAGGCATCAAGAAAAAAGCAACAGGTAACTTACAAAGGAGCCCCCATAATGCTGTCAGCTGATTTCTCAAAAGAAAAACTACATTTTAGAAAGGGAATGGCATGAAGTATTCAAGGCCATGAAAAACAAATATCTGAATCTAAGACTACTTTATCCAACAGGCTGTCATTCAAAATAGAAGGTGAAAGAAAGAAATTCTCAGGCCAAAAAAAAAAAAAAAAGGTGAAGGGAATATATTAGCATCAACCCAGCATTGCAAGAAATGTTAAAAGGACTGCTATAATAAACAGAAGAAATACATAGAGAGAAACATAGGCATAATAAAAATGGCAGTAAATAATAACCTTAAATGTAAATGGCTTAAATGCTCCAATCAAAAGATGCAGAGCAGCTAAATGAATAAGAAAGCAAGATTTATATACATGCACTCTACAAGAGACTGATTTCACAACAAATGACTCATATGGGTTGAAAGTAAAGGGACAGAAAAAAACTTTTCCAAGAAAATGGAAAGGGGACAAAAAGCTGGGGTAGAAATACTAATATCTGATCAAATACACTTCAAAATGAAGACCATAACAAGAGACAAAGAAGGCCACTACATAACGATGAAAGGATATATCCAACAGGAGAATATAACCTTGGTAAATATATATGCACCTAAAATAGAAGCACCAAAATATATTGTAAAACTTCTGGAGGACAACAATACAATCATAGTAGGATACTTCAACACCCCACTGACATCACTAGATAGCTCCTCTAGACAAATAATTAACAACAACACAGAGCCTCTACATGATACACTAGATCAAATGCATTTAATAGATATTTACACAGCATTAAACAACAAAACTTCAGAATACACATTCTTCTCAAGTACACATGGGACATTATCAAAGATAGAACACATATTAGGACACAAACTAAAGTCTCTACAAGTTCAAGAAGACTAATATTAAGCATCTTCTCAGATCAC